TTAAGGATATTGTTGAAGAAAGTATTAAGGAAAACTTCAAAAATAGTACTAAAGTAGAGCAGAATTCTGAAATCGGAAAAAAAGTTGAACAAAAATTCAAAAATATCGAAACGAAAGAGCAAAATTTTGGAAACATGATCGAAGAAAAAATTGACCAAGAATCTAAAGACAGTATCGAGGGGATAATTGAGCAAAATTTTCAAAATATTACTGCAGACAAAATCGAAACTAATGACACTGTTTATAAGTCAGAAATTTCGAAAGAAACCAGTGATACAAAATCGGCGTCAGAAACAGTGATCAAAGGAATCGTGCAGGACATTATGGAAGACACGGAAGACTCGATTTTTTGGCAATATTACAAACAACAAGAGAGAACGTACATTAAAGGGAAAGTTTATGATTTCGATCCAAAGAAACACGGTGTCAGGTATAAGTGCAATAACAGTGCAATTTTTTAATGTATTTATATCGATGATTTTACGATATAGCAATTTTATGTTTGGTAAAGTAAATAGTAATTGATTGTAGGATGACTGAAGAGTTCTTGAAGAAGCATTGCAAGCAAAATAAGCTTTATCAAACGCCCCATCTCAACGACGTGCTCTATCTTCATTATAAAGGTTAATTTTATACAGATAATCTTTCATTAATGTATACAAGAAACCATGTTGTATACGAGAACTGTTATTAATTTCCAAATAAAAAAGATGCCTTCAAAGTTTTATATTTTATCGCATCGTTTTCGTAACAAAGTTACTACAATTGAAAAGCTTTCTGAAAAGAAAAACAAATAAAAATATTAAATTGAATAAATTGTATTGAGAGTTTTGGTTCTAGATTTTCAATAGCATGATTAGTTCACAGTAATGGAAGGTATTTGATTTTATGTTATACTTTGAATTCTTTGTGATAAAAGTTAACAAAATTTAATTGAATAAAATATTCTAACTTTTATATTTTCACCTTGTGCACAAGAATGTTATACATGAATTGTAAAAAACATGCTACCAAATTATTTTACTTTAAAAATTCTAAATTGACAATTATCGAACAATTGCTTAAAAATATTTTTAAATATTTATTTATTTTAAAGTAGTTACAAACATTAACAATTATACAACTATAATTTAACTACCTGAATTATTACTTAAAATTCAGATCCGTTTGAAAACTTTCTACAGAAAATATATATATATATA